TTTTTGTGTTCTCATTCTCTAACGGACATGTGGAAGGGGTGGTGGGGGGGCAGGCAACACAACTCCAACAATAGTGGGGCGCAGCAGTGCACTCTTTTTTTTATTTTTTGTCTGCAGCTAAAGCTAACGGTTTTGTATTCCCTTTGAAGGGGTGCCGGGTATTTGTGTTTCCAGCGCCAACTGGCGGCATGCGGAATATTCCACTTATTCCTTTGACGGCAGCAGTTTGCCAGTTTGCCAGTTAGCAGTCTCCAGTTTTAATTTAATTAGTTAGGGTATTGTCTGTGTCGGCTTTCCCCCGCCCCACATTAGTCCTACGAGCATTTCCTCGCTCCTTCTGAAAGTGAGTTACAGTAATTAACAGCAAATGTTGGTTTTCCACGACAGCAGAACGGAAACCGCCACAAAAGAAGATGAAGATGGACTAACTGGTTGGAGCGGAGCGACGACTGCATTAGATCATGGGAGAGCGAGCTCCTTTAATTTTTGTATCTCCCACTCCCACACTCCCACTCTCCCTCCCACTCTGTTCATGTCAATGCATTGCATTATGAGGGTCGCTGGGCATAGTTTTATTTTGGACCCAGACTGTGCCCACTATCAGTGCAACGGCCACTGGGCCAACCGCAACAGCAATTGTACGAGCGAGTGGCAATTACAACAATCAACGGAATACAACGGCCGTCGCCGCATAAACGATAAGCGATGACAGAGTCAACATATGTATGTACGGGAAGTCCGTACCAAGAGCTGGGAACTGGGAACTGGGCCTACTACGAAACCAACAACCGCGATTACACAAGCGGGGGCTTGGACAAGAACAACAAAAGCTGTGGCGAAAAATGTTCAAGTTGTGGCAACTAATCGGACGCAGAGACAAAGATATATCTGCTATATATCGAAACTAATCAGGCATAAGAACAAAAGATATGTTCATCAGATAGTTACACATACGGGCACGGCATACATACACATACATACACATATGTACACACTTATGTAGAATCTTTGAGCCACACTGCAACATCCATTATCAGCATATACAAAATTCATCTTTTTCGGTTGAACTGAATTGAAAAAAGTGTCATAAATGGCTTTTAAACGGCTCCCCTAGGAGCTATCGAGCTACATACATGCATATGTATGTATGTACATATGTGTGTACATATAGTGACCTTCATTTGCATCTTTGAACAAAGCAACTTTGCTGGCTTGACGTTCCGTATCGGCAGGCACAGGCCAAGGCACAGGCCCAGGCACATGGCCATTACCCAATTGCGATGATATTTAAGTTTCTCTTATTTCCCATGTCGCCCCGCTTTGAGTGTACTTCGATTACCAGCGTCTCTCCCGCCTGGTGGGTTCTTAACGATATGCGACTATTTTGACCCCAAGAGACCGGCAGAGAAAGAGAGAGAGAGAATGCCGTACAGAGGGCCCCAAACAGCAACAGCAAGAGCCACAGCAAGAAACTGAAACTGAAAATACACGCACACAGCTGCACATTACGCCACAAATTTATTTGGATTGGGGTTGGGTCAGAATTTAAATATTCCAACGCGCCAACGCGCCAGCCAGGCAGGCAGGCAGCCAGTCAGTCAGCCAGTAGCACCGCACCGCCATATCACCATCGGAAAAACAACAACAACAAAGTATAAAACGGCAACTGATTTTCGCCCGGTACCGGGACGGGACTGATCGACAGACGACGGATGGGGCGGATGGCGGGATGGACGATCGATTTCGATTCAGATTCCAGCCCAGATTCGGTCTTGGAACTTCGGGCTCGATCTGCTTGATTTGTCATGAGTCCCCGTCTGATCCATTTGCCTATTCCCCCATCCCACAAAGATCCCATCGAGTCGTCATATTTTTTTTTTTTCCTTATCTACGCGCGTATTGCCAAATGCAGGGGGAGGCGGGGGAGGTCTCAGTATCTCTGCCTTTGGCCCGGGTTCTGTCTCAGTCGATTGGTTCATCAGAAAAAATGTTGGTTAAAATTATTCCCAACATGGTCTGGATCGTTTCCCCCGTTTTGTGGACACAAACAGTCGCAGTCGCCTCGCTTATAAATTTTATGGCCTGATTGAGTTGAGTTGAGTTGGGTTTGGGGTTGGGCTGTGAGCTGTGAGCTGCGTTCAATTAGGGTTCGTTTTCGTTTCGTTTTGGGCTTATCGAATGGGTAAGAAGACAAGCAAAAAACGCCAACAGTTACGATCGTTCATGTTCCTCTCCACTCTTCCTCTTCTGCCTGGCCTGGCCTGGCCTGGCGTTTTGACCTGTGTCAATATTTATTGACTTTGTATTTACAGCCAAGACTCTATTTGCATTGAATTAGTGATTAATTTCACTGATAAGGCAACCCGATTGTTTGCCATGGCATGGGGACGGACGAAGAAGGGCTCTGGTATTTCCTAATACTCGAATAAGTACGAACATGCATACATCTGTACATCTGTACGGGTATACTCATGGGTGCGGCAGTTCTACTGCCTTCCATATGAAGAAGATATGTATATTGGAGTCGGTCGAAGGAGGCTTAAAGAGGTTAGTTTCAGGAACCAAATACGCTTCGAATCTACATATATTCTATATGTATTATGTATCTACGTTACTATACCTTCTGCAGTGGAAAAACATGCGAAAAAACGTTGGTACAATCTTTTTGGTAAACAATTGGACCAATTCAATGCAGATCCTTGATAATCTCGTATTAAATATGCGTATAAAAAGAATGTATGTACATACATATGTATGTTTTTATGAACAAATTCATATTTTATTTCATTGTAAAAAATCTTCCTGTTCCTGCCGTCCGTTTGGGCTCTCAAATTCACTTTACTTTAACATTTTATGGCTGCCCAATTAACTGCGCATTATTGCCAGAGACCAGACCCACTAAAGGGCAGAAAACTCATTTTGCCCCATAAAAGTTCACATAAATACATCCGTACATACATATGCATGTTCATATTTATTCTTGTGCACATATGTACATACATACATATGTACATATGTATGTATTTACATGTATGAGAATTTAATCAGCAGTAGCCGTCAAGTAGAAAACAAATTCCGCTTGCATGGCTTTCAATTTGGCTTGAAAAATTCCAAAAAGCGAAAAGTCGAAGCGCGGGGTAGACGAAGGTCTTTCATCTGGCGAGAGATCATGCGATCGGGCCAGATTGAGGCGTTGGGCTGGGTCACAGAGGGTACTGCAACGGAAGCGGCCTCGGCTGTCCGTCGAGAAGATTGTGAGCGCGAGAGATGGAAGGAGATGGGATCTGCTGCGTGTGGAAGTGGGGGCCCAGAGTTTTTGCCAGAAAATTGATCGTGACAACATTTGTGCGGGCACGTTGTGGCTGCTGGCTGCTTGCTGCCCCAAAACAGAATACATTAATTGACACTTGGCCGGAAATAGTTCATTAGGCATAAATTACGTACAGACAAAGCATTTCTGATCCCTCTCTCTCTCTCTGTCTCTCTCTCTTGCTGCGCCTCGCTTTTTGCCATTTGCTTCCAGTTCGAGAGTCCGAGTTGTTGTCGATTGTAGCTGCTAGATTTTTCAGCGGCTTAAATGGACAGGGAAATAGGGAACGAACTATTGCTGTTATCTCTGCTGCTCTGCAGCGAATGTGAGTGCAAAGCGCAGGGCCACAACAAACGCACACACAAACGGATACTCTGGCATAGTACATTCATCTCGCTCGCTCTCTTACTCTCTTACGCCGCAAGTCCTCTGTCTCTGTTGCTGCTTGGCAGTAGCCACCAACATGTGTGATCCAAATGTTCTGTTCTTGTAAATTTTTACAAACGAGGAAGTAAGATAATGAACTGAACTAAGACTTCGGATTGGAATTGAAATCGCGGCGGCGGCGGCGGTAACTGCAGCGAAAGAAGAAGACGACCGCGGCGAAAAGGCGAAGCAACACAAACAGAACAAAAACTCAACTAAAACGCAATTGCAGACGCGAAGAAGAGACAGAGACAGAAACGAATTCATCGTTACCCTCCCTCCCTCCCTCCGTGGATCCAAATTACTTAAGCGGGCTCAAATCTGCCCCCTACCACCCTCCAACAGAGATCCCCCTCTTGAACACACACACATACACACAGCAGCTGGCTGATAGGCATTGGGGTGGGGAGGGTGATGCATACGAAATGGAAACTGAAATGAGTGGTGCTGCAATTGTTGTGGGACAAGAAAGAGGGTGTTTGAGGAAGTACACTGGTACCCGATGTGATTGGACCACTACGAGTGGGCCGATAGTCAGTGCCGTCCCGGCAACAGTTTGTCTCGCTCTTAATAAATAAATTTAATCTGTGGAGGGTACGAGTATGCGAGTATTCAATGGGGTGTACTAGACCGTTCTGTACTTAAGAGCCGACCAAAGTGTGGGTTATACCCTTGAATAGGGTACTATGATTCAGCCTGGAGGTTTTGTGCGTTTTACCATGAAATCGACTACACCTTAACTTTACTTTAAAACCATGTGATTCAACAGTAAAATTACCCTGCAAGCAGGATACAAAAAAAAATACACATCTTATTAGTTAAATGAACTAAGAAGCCTGGAACTGTAGGGTATTATATTGCCATCTCTGTCGCGAAGAAGAAGAAACGGCGAATTCGTCCATCGGCTACTGTAAAGCGTCGACGGATTTTTGTATTACACACATTTTCTTGTTCTGTTTCGGTTCTCCTCTTGATTGTGTGTGTGTGTGAGCGCTGGCTGCCGCTGCTTTTCGCGTTCATTCGCTCGTCGTTCTTCGTTTGCTTTTACTTTCTGTTGCTCTGTTGTGTGATTGCAATTAAACGGCATTTTTCCCATTCTGGTGAGAGCGGAAGAGCGAGCGCAGAAGAGAGCGATTGTGACCTGGTCGTCTGGATCGACGTCTGTCTCGGCCTGACTTACTCCGATAACGGTACACTGTGTTCAAGCTAGGCAGCGGGTCAGACAGAGAGAGAGCGTGACTGAGAGCCGAAAATAGAGACGGAGAGAGAGAGCGAGAGAGAGGACTGTGTTGTTGCGCTCTCCTTTCCTTCATGTGCGCGTGATTTTCTGGCTTTGAATGCGGGCTTGCTGCCAGCGTCGACGCCGCCGCTCGGTATTCTGCCGCTGCTCGTTGCGGTGGTTGTTATTTTTTTGGTTTCCGTTTTTATTCGCCGTTTAAACTTGGTCGTGAGAGGGTAAGCCTCCAATCCGCCCTGCCCGCGATCGTGTCGTGTCGTCTTAGTGGAAAAAGTGCAAAGTGAAGACGGAACACTGGCCGCCAACCTAAATCTGCAGATTCTCCAGCACATCTTGATGGCTCCCGTGAGCGCTATCACTGGCCGATCGCCCAGCGCCACCAATTCGTTGCAGGATCTGAGCGCTGCCGCCGCTGCCATTGCCCTGGACATGACGCCCAAGGTGGAGCTGATGCCCCTGTCCTCCTCCACGGCTGTGGCGCCCGCGCAGAAGATCAAGAAATGTGCGTAGTCCTCTCGCCTGCACCCCAAACCAACCCCTCTTTTATGTTACATTTTCCCCTCATCCGTAGTGGTGCGTCGAAATGCCTCCGACAAGCTAAAGCTCATCCAAATGGTGCACGACAACCCTATTTTGTGGGACTCGCGGCTGCCCAACTTCAAGGGCGCCGAGGAGGAGAAGAACCGCGCCTGGGAGCACATCGGACGGGAGTTCAATGCTCCGGGTCGCCGAGTGGCGCGCGCCTTCAAATCTCTGCGAGAATCCTATCGCCGGGAGCTGGCCCACGTCAAGATGATGGGCACCGGCTTCAAGCCCAAGTGGAGCCTGTACGAGGCCATGGATTTTCTGCGAGATGTCATCCGAGAGAGAAAGTGAGTACGAATTGAATTCGGTATAGAATTTGGCTAAAAAGGATCGTATTGGCGATACATATTGGTGACGGTTTTGTGTCCCGATTAAGTTAAATGGGGTATATCCCAGTTCGTGCACCATGAATGTCTTGTTTTTGATATTTTCAATGTTATTTCGTGTTTGTCAAGTCGTTGGCTCGTCTTACACTCACTTTGTGCATTCATTGTGTCTGCGCTTTTGACTAATATTACAAAGAGTTTCGATAAGCGTCTGTCTGGTCTGCCCTCTTGATCGATTCATAATAGGCATTGGGGTGTGCGGTCAAAGTGCACCTTCAAGTCATGAATAATGGCTTTCGTTCTTGGCTTGGCTTGGCTGGGTCTGGTATGTCATTCGCATTCTCATTCCCATTGTCCCGTGGCTTTGTCTCACACAAATGTGTGTGTGTGTGTGTGTGTGCAGAGCGCGGGTGCAAACTGCTAGTCGATCCCATTTATACATATTTCCTTTGGATGACTCATTCGCTAGATCTTGGTTGGTTGGTAATCGACAAGATGGCACACACAGAATAAATTGTTATTGTAGCTGAGCCGCACAAACACACACACACACACACACACACACACACACACACACTGACATATCGTATAAGGTTGGGGTTGGGGGTAAGGTTTGTGTTCTCCCCCCGTTTTAATGTTGTTGTCGGTGATGGGTGATCGGTGGTGAAGCAAATTCCATGCAAAGTCGATTTGTGGTTGAATGTTATGTTGCTGGTGGGGTGGCCATAGCCCAAATAATTGTTTGAAGTGTTTCTTGGAAACTTATCAGTTCATGGGGGTAGTAGCGCCTGCTGTCGCCAGCCCCATTGCAGTAGATTTCCTTACGGCTTATGCGCATGTGAGTCACGCTAATAGGCAAAAATGTGGGGTTATTTTTACCCTTAGTTGATCTTCAAAGTTGGGATCTACGTTTAAACGAAATCTGCAAATGTGAGCCCTGTCGCGCACATCCTTTCAAACACTCCAACCAGTTGGCATCGCTGATGATTTGCATATGGCTCGGAGCTCCGAACTCGGACAAATCTCAGCTCAGTATCTGAGAAAAACATCTGCCCAATACAGCAAAAAAATAACATATATGTAAGCATATGTGGACTGTGGATGGGATGGACGTGTGCACATTCAAGTACTGGCAGAGCGCAAAATCGGAGCGGTAACGTGGAAAAAACCAATCCAATCCCGAACAAAGGAATGACCAGGCCAGAGACCGAGGAGACCCGCCAGTCGAGAGTCTGGTCTGCCCCGACCAATGTTCTGGCTCATATGGAGGAGCGGAGCTCTACTTGTATAAGAATGTCTGTTGGTGTGTGTGTGTGTGTGGATTGTACTTTATGTACATATTTATATGAAATAAGGCCATTTCCTTTCAATTGACTGTACCCACATGGGCAACAAGCAGTCGACGGCCCCGACACATGCCCGCACACCACAAACACACACACACACACACACACACACACAGAGTCCATATGTATATATATTTAAATTTTTATTATTTTGAGCTGATAACAGACAACACAGAAACGGAACGGACCCGGCCCGGTACAGCGCTTGAGCCCCATGTATAGAGCCATAGCCATAAAAACAGATCTCGCCAAGCAGCGAATATTCTACAGTATTATACAACGACAGTGGCGAGGTCTCGCCTCCAGCTTCCAGCCGCCATCCGCCAGCCTCTAGCCTTAGCATCATCGCCACTTGAACCAAAAACAAAATTGAGGGAAGCTGCAAAACCAACAAAAAAAAAAAAAAAAAAAAAGTACTGCTGGTGGTGGTAGCGCAGCAAGCCTCAGAGACAGTGAGAGTGTAAGAGAAGGAGGAATAGAGGGATAGAGCGACAGAGAGACAGGGAAAGAGCGATAAATTAATGAGAGCAATATGAAAATGACAATCGTGGACCAAGTTTAGAAAAGAATCGCAGACGAGTGTTGGTCGGTCGGTCGGTCGACTGTGGGAGAGAGAAAATGAGGCACTGACATGGTTGTATGTGTGTGTTGTGTGTGTGTGTATATGGGTGAGCAATTGAACATTCTACAGCCAGTCTCAGCCTCGGCTTTGGCTTCGACTTCGGCCAGGGTTAAAAATATGCCCACGACCAGCCCAGCAGCGGACGGACGGACGGACAAGCGAAACAGCAGAGCCACATCTCACACATCACATCACATCAGTCCGGGCCTGTGGGGTTGCTCGGCCATCTTCCGTCTCTCTCTGTCTCTCTTTCTCTGCTGCTCCCCGATCGCGTCTCTTTTTGCGTCCACGTACAAACGCGTAAACACAATTGTGGTCAAATTAATAGCAATGCAAATTAAAGTTCTGGCTACATATTTGCTTGCACAGTTTTCGGCAAATGTCTGTCTACATCGGATTTTTCTTAAAGACTTTTTTTGAGTCAATCTTGGTTGGCATGCATTAAATGTTCTGTGTTGCTATTATTTTGCCCGCTGCTGTGCCACACATTGTTGAGCATGAATGTTCCTGTTCGGCTCTCTGCATTCGGCTGTCCGTGTGTCACGCTTATGATTTAATAAGCAAATGAGCTGCAAAATTGATGAAACTGTTGTTTGCCCTACCCCCCTGCCACCGCCCCGTGCACTACCACGGGAGCCGCCGAACCACGCCCCGAAATCACAGTCGGGCGATCTCCCCCCTCTGTACAAAATGTTTTTCCAGTGCGTCACTGACAAAAAGTGGGCGTTTACCCCCACATTCCATTCCATTCCCACAATTCTTTGCACTGCCAAATATTTGCACCCGATTAGGCAATTGGAGGATTATTATAACTTTTATCACTCGATCAATAAGCTGGGATTGGGAAATTGTTTTTAAAGATCATCATAATTATTCGATTTGTACGGACGCCAAACAACAAACAACAGACAGAATAATCGGGCCAAGTGCAGATAACGCGCCGATTTGTGGAATTTTTCCTGAATATGCCACAGCGTGGAAGTGGAAACTTTCTAATGGTCTTGTCTGGTCAGGGTCCTGGGTCAGAGCGGAAGCAAATATTGATAAGCCAAGGGAACAGCTCGAACTCAAATTCGAGCCAAGACCACAGAAGCCGCAGGCAAATAGAGCTCTTCCAGATAGTGGAACATGTGAAAATGCATTTGGCCCTGATTAGTCGTCCTGCATGTCGTCAGTTGGTGGGACTCGGTCTGAGCCTGGCATATCGTTTTACACAAATTTTCCAATTGTCAACTACCTGCGAGAGAGCAGTAAGAGAGCGATAAGGCGTAGAGTGTCTAGGAAGAGTGGTAGGGGGGAGGGAGGAAAAATCTCTTCATTCTTCCCCTTGTCAATGGGCACACAACTGGGCCAAGCCGCGACATTTAGCAAAATTTGGAGTTGGGGGGGCAGCAACGCTAAAAATAGCCACGTTCAGGCGTTCCTGATACTCAGGGCACCCAGAGAAGAGTGGAGTGGAGTAGAGTCCCTGACAGCTGCATTGTTTTTGGGAAAATGCTCTTGAAATTTGAGACGCCTGCAAGGAAGAAGCAGGAAACCAGCCCCGCCGAACCCAGAGGGCAGCCATAGAGAATGAGAGAGCCAGGTCTGTTTTGGGACATTCAAATAAATTCTGGTTCTGGTTCTGTTTCTGTTCTGTTCTGTCCTTTTGGTACTTGTATCGAATGTGATTCTTGGGGTTTGTTTGAGCACGTTCTTCGTTGTTGGGCTACTATTTGGGGGTTGTCTTGGATTTTGTCTATTTCTGGGTTCATTTGGATTGGTAGGAAAAATAGTCGAATGGATTTAAATCCGTTTTTGATTCAATTGCAGGCGGTAGAAGCTTTCTTTTAGGGATTCCCAGTGCTCTTGTCTTTAAATAAATTTTAAATTTGTTGTTTCTTTTTTTTTTTGCTCCCATCAGAGGCGCCTCACATGCCACAGATCTCAGCCTGAGCGCCTATGCTGCACATCTGCACAACAACAATAATAGCCACAATAACAACAACCACAGCGTCCTGGGAGGAGGAGCTGGTGGCAAAGGAGGCGCCATGAAGCTGTCCTCATCCTTCAACGACTCGGCCTCTGCACTGAATCTGTCCAAGTGCTCGACCCTGAATGCGAGTGGTGACGATTACTATTGCGATTACTACGTGAAGCCGGAGCTGGACCTGTCGACGGGCGGCGGGGCTGGCAGCAGCAGCAGCGGAAGCTGCTCGGGAGGTGGCGGAGGGGCGCCCGCTTTGCCCCAGCCTGCCCATCAGCATCTGGCGAATAACGACAGTCGGGTGAGCTCCACCAGGAATGAGCATCATCACCTGCAGCAGAGCTACGACGACATGGACGCGAGCTCGTTGCGGAGCGGCGACGAGGATGCGGATGCCGGCAATGCCTCCGATGGGGTGGAGGAGCTGGAGGCCATTGATGCCGACTTTCCCTATCCCCTCATACTCGACTCGAACTCGCCGGGGAGCACCAATGCCGGCGTGGATGAGGTGGCTTCCTCACGTAAGCGTCGTCGCAATGGCGAGCAGGAGGACCTGGACGACGGCGATGCTGACGGTGATGTCGGTGGTGGTGTCATCGACGGCGATGACTATGAGGAGCAGATGCTGCAGCAGCATCGGCATTTGCGCCAGCAACAGAATGCCGGTGTGGTCACCGGGGGATTGGATCTGCCGCCACCCCAAACGGTACGCGAGGTCCTCAACTCGAAGTTCTGTGGCTTCATCTCCGCCAAACTGAACAGCATGGAGGACTCTGAGGCGGACAATCTGATGAATCGCATTCTCCTGCTACTCGTGCAAATGCAGCAATGCGAAGGATCTGTCAAGTAGAGCCGGTGTCGGGATCTAGTTTTTAGTAGCGAAGAAAAGCCCATTATGGATTAATGCGGCTGCTCAAAGCAAATAGCAAATAGCAGATAGCAGATAGTTTCTTGCCATATCATTTTGCTCCCCCACACCCTTCCAATTTTGCCATAAGAAAAAAAGAAATGCCAAAACTGTGCCATACCAAAAAGAATCGAACAAAAATGCAACAGAAGGAACTGGTTATACCTTAGGGATCGTATCGTTCCTGCTCTCATATCAATAAATGCATCTCAAGCAACGGAAAACAAACACTCAAAGAAGAAAGACAGCACAAAGACAAAGACAAAGAGAAAGACAAAGATAAAGACAAAGAAAGTAAGAAGGTTAAGAGATTTAGTCTAGTGTAAATGTAAATGTTAATTTCGTTTTAAGCCCCGATCGACTGTGGATCATTTAGCATATATGCACATACATATGTGGTAGTACATACTCGTATAAATATATAATGCTCCAAAAACGTCTCATCACATGAAAGAGAGGAAACACGCTACACGAAGTAGCATATCCCGATATTTTTTGTTATCATCTAAGAATATTAGTTCAAAACACACGCCAAAGTTCGCTCTAACACGAACAGAACAGAATATGTCTTAGCCTTAATTTCATATGAACAACTTATTTATAGTTTCCTTTATCTTCTTCTTAATTAACCTAAATGCAAATAGCTTGCCATACTTTTTGCCAAATATCCTGGAGAGAATATACAACATTTTTGGTTTAATAAACACACAAAATCGTGTAAAGAAATGAACTTTAAATAAGGATGAAATATGTGTGTTAAAGATACGTGTGTGTGCGTGTGATAAATACAATTGGATTTTCCCCTAGCTTAGTTGTCCCCTCGATCCTTATCAACATTTTGTAGCTGTAATCTTATTGTTTGTGCTGTAATTTGTCTCGCAGTATTCAAACTGTTTTCCATATATCAATGAACGCCGGACCGAATCATCAGCCAACCCCTCCCCATCTGCGTACAGACCCGCATAGACCATGACCAAGTCGCACATTTGGCCAGATGTCACACATACCTACATGGCCCGTAGAAACCCTCTGCACACACGAGACTGGCGAGAGAGATACCGAACCATTAATACAGAAGGCGTCATAAAAACCAGTCAACAATGAGACAAAAGATTAGAGCCTGAACATGCGCATGCGCCAGGGCCTGGGCCTGAGACGCTCTACTCGCATGCTCGCACGGCTCAGAGCGGAGAGCCACCAGATGTGGACATGCCACAGCCAAAACCGATACAGACCCGCCTGGGACCAGGCAGAGCATCATTCGCAGCAGATGAAGGAGAGATCTGGCTATGAATGAAACGCCGGCAAAGGGAATGGGGGCACAAAACACACAGAGTGAGCACATTTGGGCTGTGGCGAATGCTAAAAACCAAGATGAACCAACCCTTAAAATGGGAATTGGCCTGGCCAGGCCTCTGCCTAAGGCAACAAAGAGCCTCAAACCCTCAGGAGCTGCAGAAATCGCGTCGCGCATGCGCGGAAAATTGCCAAAAGCGGTCCCCGGTCACGACAGAGCCGAGTGCTCAGAACTGGTTTCCCATAGCGTTGATGGCTGGATGGACGGATGGCTGGATGGATGGACCCTTTTGTTGGCCCTCTTTGAGAGCCGCTTAAGGGATGCTGCCATGTTGTCTGGATGCTGACGGGCTCTGGGGTTCAATGACCATGGCTATAATTCGAGGGTAACACAAGAACTTGAGGCGGCAGTCGATAGCGTTGAAAAATGATTACTTGAAACACACACACACAGCCATAATGGTAGGCTGTAGGCTGGATTCGGAAGTGAAGAACGCAACATCAATCACTGTTTTAATTGGCTTTACATTTCGTTATAAAATATATAGAGATTCGTTGCCCGCCTTGGCCCAGAAGAATTTGCAATTTATAATCTTAATTTAGCCTAAAGCCCTCTTGCAGGGACTTCGTGTAAAGCCCTCATGCAAAAGTTCTGAAGGCTATACTATTATTATAATTTAAATCTCTGATTCATTATTTCTTGAGCGGTTTCTTTGCCTTGCACACATCAGGCCTACCGGCTCCTTGCAGCAGTGGACTGGACAGATTGTTGACTCTCCAACATTTTCATCGAGCTCTTGGTACACGGTGGTTCGTCCAATCGAAGGTACCGCCAGCTGAGTGGCCAACCCTTGGCCAGATTTTCCGACGGAGTGGCGCTCGCTTTTTGTCGGCGTTTTGCTTGGAGATCCGGCTTGCAGCGGCTCCTTTTCGGCACCGTTTCTGAATGGTTTTTGGCGGCTGATCGAACCTTCTTCACGGGCCCCTCTTCAGCCGCGCGTCGTTGGTAATGCGGCACGGACTGAGTTTGACGCAGCACAGAGTAAAGTCGGCCGGAATTTGGCGACACATCCTTGCTGGACATCCTGCCGATGTTTTTACTTAAATTGTTTTTGGGCAAACTTCTGCCGACTGAACCACTCTTTCTGCGTGCTCGGTACGAGGGGCAATCTTTGCTACACTCGCCCCTAGAATGTCTGTCGCCGGCACCGCCATGCGCCCCTTGGCCACCTTGGGCGTTCTTTCCGCCCTTCTTGTTCTTGCCTTTGCCCTTGCGGTGCTTTGACTTGGACTTGGAACGAGATTGCTCCCCATCAGACTCGCTGTCCACGTGGATGGTGTCCGACCATGCCTCTGAGAGAAACGTTGCCTTGGACGCATTTCCCTGCAGTTCTTCTTCACCCAAGACATAATCCTGTTCGTCTGCACCGTCTCCCATGGTCTGGTCCCCACGTCTCTGGCCCTCTCTGTCCGTCACAAAGTAGTCGTCGGCCGAATCGGCAAGATTCAGGAGACGTCCCCGCAGCTGTGCGATAATCTTGCGCTGCTTGATACGCACATTGCCCAGTGACATGGCGTCCGACTGTAGCGTGGCCAGCTTGTCCTCCTGGTCGCGGCGCGATCCATCCAGTGGCTCGCGCGTCATGCGCTCCAGCTCCTTGAGCAGCGTAATCCTCTCGGAGTCCGAGGCGGCGGCTATTTGGCGCAAGCGGAACTGCACCTTGGCATACTGCGATGTCATGGTGAAGAGAGCCTCCTGCAATTTCTGGACATCGTCCTCTAGCTGGCACTCGTACGGGGTCAGCTGTCGTCCGGCCATGCTTCCTTCTCCATCCGCTTCGGACGCGTGCATTGACTCTGAGCTGGAGTGCGACGATCGCTGGCGACGGTGGAACAACTGCGACGATCGCTGCATCGAATGGGTCGAGACATGCTTCAGCTCCTCCGTTGACTTTCTCTGGTGACCATGCGGATCCTTGGATTTCTTACCCGTTAAATGCTTCTCCTTACCCTGGGATGTTCCATCGTGTGTCTTTGACTTATCCGCCGGCTCCGCCTTATTGTGGGCAGGCTTACTACCGGACGGTCCATGTTCCTGCTGCCCCTCATCTGTTTTTTTTGGCTTGCCACAACATACAAATCCACACGGACATCCACAACCACAGGCACATGTATTCAACGACATTTTCCTGGAGGTTCGGCTTGTGTCTTGGCCTGGCTTGAGGTTGATTTAGCTGGGATCTGTTTGAGTGATTTAATTTTGAAAGTTTTCCAAAAGTAAACCGAGAATGAGAATGAGAATGTGTGTGGAGAGTGTGGCGAGAGTACTTACAAATTATTTGAGCCTGGGTTCAGTGGGGGAGCAGTATTTCCAGGTTCCGGAAGAACCACTGGGCAGCGTTGATGTAAGCGTAGGCAAAGATGAACAGAAACACCAGACATTGGATGAGCAGTTCTATATCGGGGTGCATGTCCGATTGACTGGTCTTCGATTGGGTTTGAGCTTTCACTCGAAATAAATTTGGCAATTCTCTGAGCGCTTGCTTGCCTTAAAGGTGCAGCTCGATTGATCCATAGAAGCAACCATGTAAGTTGGGATTTTGTGTTGGATTTGTGTAGCCCACGAACCATTATCCCCATTGTTGCCGATTCATTGACACTCGGTTTAACTAGTTACTCTCTGGTACAACTCTCGTACTCTCCTCCTTCTCCTCCTCCGTCGCCCACTCGGACATTGTTTGGAAAACAAACGCCGCGTCCCTGGGCAGGGAACACTCACACCAGACCATGCAGAGGTGGCCGCATGCAACGTTAACACGCGAAATGTGCAACAAGCTGAAAAATTGGTAGTTGTAATCAATGCCCGGCCGGGGCCGGGCCGCTCTGGCTCTACTTTTACTATCACCATTCGGGCCGTTCGATGCGCCACAGGGCGCCAGAGCAGAACACACTAACCAAATTTCATGTATTCGAAAGATTTAGCCGTGTTGCGAGCAATTGATTTGGCCCCTACACGGACGTGGACGAGAACGCGGACAACGGCACAGACACGGACACAGAGGATTGGAGGGGTGGGGATTGGGTACGGACACGGAACACGGACAGGAAGGCACCTGGCTGCGCTACGAGTGCAAGCCCTTGAGGGAATGCCGAATTGGAGCGAAAGCCCGTTGCACGAACAGTAGGAGGGAGATGCTCCCTGTCCTCCTTCCGCCTCCGCCTCCGCCTTCTCCAGCGCCTGGTATAGGGGAGCAAATGCCGCGTTGCGTCATTTGTAAGCGGATGAACATGAAAACTATATAAGATTTTAGGCAAATTGGGGGATTGGGAGGTAAATGGATGGCACTGCACTGCCACCCACCCACGGCAGTGGCGCGTCTGTCGGTAGTCGTGCGTGCGTCTCGTTTTGCAACGGATTTTAAATGAAAGCTGATTACAGACAACCGAGCCAAAAGGGGCAGCAGCAGCAGCAACAACAGCAGCAGCAGCAGAAACAAAAAAAAAATTGATAAAGAAAAATCGCAAGAAGCATCTGGAGCTGGAGCAGATGCTCTGCTCCGCTCTGCTCTTTGGGCAGTTTTTTGTTGCCCGTACCTCTGCCCTCTGGACGGGGTCTTTGGCAGGGTGTTTGAACAATCAGATAACAATATTACTTAAGCAGTTCTTTGTCGTCTTCTCTGGCTAGCTTATTTATTATCAACCCAACCCACCGCGTGCACTGACGACTGCCCACCCATGGAGAGTGTTGGGGCAGGTCCTCTGGCTGGTGTCCCATTTGGCTTTCGCACTTCGGACCCCACCTCGTAAATCGCACCAAAGTGGAGTCCGCGGAGTCGCAACTGGGAGCTGGTAGCTGGAGAAATGATATGGCCAGAACGTCAGCTGTCAGCAGTTTGTGGCCGGCTTGGATATGTGGAGCACGACGGCGAGAGAGAGTAAGACATTGAGCACAGCCGAGTGGAGCCGAGCCGAGTGCCGGCTCTCTCTCCTCTCTCGCTCCCCTGGAAGTTTTATGGCAAAGAGTGCCATAAACACTGGAATTCGCTCGGTTCAGTTTATGGCAGCGCGAATTAAGAGAGTCCATTGTTTACTTAAGAGCAGCCAAAGAGTGGCAAACCGACAAGATAGAAATGCAATTAATTGTGATTTATATTTAATTAAGTCGATTAACAGGGGAGTGTAGTGATGCCAATGCTGTTCGGTTGTGTACATTTATTTATTTAATTAAATGCACTTCCCGCCATATGTTTATCTGCCGTAAGAGAGAACCTTCAACGTGGCCCGCTGGCAGACGAATAAATCTGCCTTGCTATTTCTACACTTGAAAGCAACCAAAAACATTCCAGAAATTCCAATGAAATTAGCCGAGTGTGCAACAGCGCGCCCCACACAAGGGTAAAGGGAAAGGGAGAGGAGAGAGAGAGAGAGAGAGAGAGAGAGAGAGAGAGGATGCACTTCGGCTATGCACTTGCACTCTCCCGCTCTGGATGTCATTTACGTTGTGTGCTCCCAACGGAACATCAAACATTTCTTTGATTATTCCGTCAGGCCATAAAATGGGTTCCGTTTTGTAGAAATATTTAATATATATATCTATGGAATTAATCAGATGGCACAGGGATTCTCTTTGAGGGGTCCCTCGCTTGGCACTGGTTTCGGCTCCTACTCTTTCGGTGTCGGCTCTCCTTCGGTTCGCCACTGGAAGCCTTTCGGGCCTGACTGGCTGCACATCGGCAGCCGCGACTTTGATTCCCGACGGCTGTTGCAGAGGAAGCAAAGCAGTTCCTGGCCTGGCCTGCACTTGCCGCCGTACCGTGTTCCGTGTTCCGTTCAGTTGCAAACGAACGACCTAGGCGACGGGTTCGAAAGCTCGCACGGCCACCCCCCAACTCTCACTGAAAATCAAAGACGACTGCAAGACAACTGGCGAGTAATTGTAGAGCCCAAAAGCGTCAAGTGCCACGCGCTGGCCAAAAAAGCAGGCAATAAATTTAAGTTCCGGTTTTAGTACGCGGCTAACTAAGAGAGTGTGCCGCCGCCTGACCAACGGTGCATCGCATCGGTGGTTCGTTATTTTGGTGTCAAGTGTTGCACGGGACATAGAGAAACATACAAGAAAAGCAGATAAGCGACAACGGGGCAGCAGATCCAAAAAAAAGAAAGGTTTATGCTTAAGAGATTTTCAAGACACGTTTCTCCATCAGTTGTTGTTCTGACAGTGCATCAGTCGTAACAAGCTTCTGTCGCAAGCTTGTTTCCCTTTGGGAAATCCGCCGAGTCCTGCCCCAAAAATTACCTTCAATTCGGCTCGTATTAGATTGCTTTTCAATCCATGGCAAAAGAGGGCCAAAGGAAAGGCTTGGCACGTGCCTGAACTTTGGCAGCCCCCCAGTTCCTGATGCACGGCCAGGTATGACTGCCTAGAGATAATAAAAGTTCTGATTGATGGTAATGAGCTTATAATCAGTGGCACAGAAACAGACAGAAAATTCAGCCTGTGCAATTCGATATTTAACTTTAAATTAAATACGAAAATGTGTCCATGTCTATGCTGCTCATTTGATTTGCATTTAAAATACATACATATTTAAATAGATTTAAAATATTAAAATATTAACCGCAAGAGACATACTCGTACGCGTGTGACCACACAGAATGACCCAATAAATCATAATCCAGTAAGACAGAAGGTGTCGGAACTTGCAATTCAATTAGGAGAGATGATAAATTCAATTAAGTTGCAATCCTGAGCAGCGCCGCTCAACCAACTTCTTTTGGGGTAAGTGCACATTTTTGTCGATGTCAGAGATTTTATTTACTTATCTGGTGGTGGTTGCTTGATGGAAATTCAATTTGTCGTGCGAAAATCCCAGCCGAAATCCATTGGGAGCTTCCACTCAAACGATTTCAGACAATGTTGCTTCTCCCGCTCATCCTTTGGGAAATTGCCTTGGGAATTGCCTTGAGTCTCGGCTCATCATTAAAATGAAAAGTGCACTTGGAGTGCTTCTAAATATCAGAGAGACGGACGGATAGAAATTCGCATGCAAACAATATTAAAATACTTTCGTTGAGGCGGTGAGGCGGTGAGGAGGTGAGAAAAACGAATATGCAAATCGTTTCAAACTGCAATTGCATTGCGGAAAAGTGAATGAAAAGCGCAGTTTACCCTGAGGAAAAGTTTTAGCAATTCATTCAGTCAGTAGGGGATTCAGTTGGGAAGGCTTCAGTCAGTCAGTCAGTCAGTCAGCCAGGGCTGTCAGGGAGTCAGGGAGTCATTCAGTCAATCAGCAAGCAAACAACAGCACAAATTCTCGCAAAATTACAATAAACAATGCACAAAGTGCGAAAAGTACGAAAGAATTTTAATTAAACACAAATAACAGCGAGAGAGAGAGAGAGAGAGAGATTGAAAGGATGGTGGATGAGTGAAGTGGGGCTGCCTGCTTTTGGCGCACTTTTAATTGCTGAGGCCCTGAAAATGCATGTTTTGTGCGAGCAGCGTCAGGAGCCATCGATTGTCATTTATTCACCGGTGGGGGGGATGAGAAGGGATAAGGATGGAACGATGAGGCTGGCAACGGAATTGTTGAGAGTAGGAAGGAGCAAGTGCTTCCCACTTCAGGTGAAGTGCGAATTGAGGCGCCGTTGGAGTGCAACCAGAGAATAGCTCGCTGCTCAAGTGGAAAAGCGCCTGAAGAGTGCTGAAGAGGAAAGGGAAAATGATGCAAAGATGCAAGCCACCATCATCAGCAGCAGCAGCAGCACAATAAGAAGCAACAACTGCTGCAGATAGACGATGCTTTTGTCTGTCCCGTGGGAGGGGGGCGGCAGAAGGAAAGAAATTATGCGAAAGGTATAGAAACAAACAATAGGAAAACACAATGTGCAAAAATATCGGCAGTAATGCACGGGCAAGGGAAATGACAGGCGGAACTGCCTCGGAATTTGCAGTTTACATTAAAGTTGATTTACAATTGTTTCCCCAAATTGCTATGAAAGCAGCAAATCGTTGACTTTAATGGCTATATATTATTTATATATTATTTACATTATTTATATTATTTATATATTATTTATACTAGAGTCGTAGGCATTCTTCGTAAATTTCCAGCAACATTTGCGTACGATAGTCGGGGACATTCTTTTTGCGAAAACGTAACCGTCGCTGTCTGGTCAGGTGCTCCGCAATGAAGCACACGTAGACGCCACAGTCATTGAAATTTGTTTGTCTGGGCATTGCCGCAACATGCTCCTTGGACCACTTGGTTGTGTCGAGTTTCTTTTTGCGCTTGTCCCTGGACTCTTTGGCCAGATATACCTCCAACGCTTTCAGCAATTGGTCATGCGTTCCCCCCAGAGAGTCATAGTACTGAATAGACTGTCCAGGAATGTCTATTACCGCCAGAGTCCAGTGAACACGCAAATGCACTGGGATGAGTATGAGCTCATAGGCAAATATATCCATACCGTGTGTCCAACGGCGGACTGCATTGTAGCCGCCGCCATTCAGTAGTTTACTGGAAAAAAAGGTGGACATGGCGTACACGGAGGGGAAGCCCATCTCCTGCGACCGATCAGCTATCATTGCTAAGTAAAAGTTGATAACATTGTCGTTCAGCCATTTGCCCGGGGCGAGGGAGTGGAGGTCTTGTCGGAAGATCGTTAGATTAAACTTGGTGCACATCACATCGTCGGGACAGCCATCGAGCAAGTATTCTGCGTGCAACCGATCATCCTTGGTAAGGAACGTTGAACGTTTCCGGATTGTCACTTCCTTTTCGTTTTCGGGTTCGCATGCAGCAACTGGACGCTTTCGGGTGGCGACCACAGGCTTGCTCTCCGGTTCTTCCTCATCACTCGAGATGACCACAGTGTCCATGATCTCTTGATCTTATCTAATCAATTATCTAAGGACTTGCAGCACATGTAAGTTGATTGGGAAACTCTAGTGGAAAACCGCTTACTGTATCCGGTATTGTTTTGGGAATGGAAAATATTTCACACAGTTCCCTTTGCTGAATGTTCAAAATTTGTAGCAATCAAAACACTTTTACGTGCTCCAAAATAAAACAATACAATTTTACAACACCTCTGCTGCCGGTTGAATGTGAAAATTCTATTTATTTTGACACACAAAAGAAAATGACATTTCTGGGCCTGCTTGGATGTTGATTTTTTGTGGTGCAATTCAAAATTAGGTAATTCTATACGATAGTATCGTTTTATTGCAATTGTTTAAATTTTAAATGTCCTTCGCTTAACCCCGACAAACGCCAAATAACCAAAGCCAATAAATTTAAATAAATAAACTGTGAAAATGTTTGGCAAAAATACCCCAAAAATTGTGAATTTGTCCAACGGAAGCCTAAAACCAACCGAAACAGAAAAATAAACCAAACTAATACTAAAAACGCATAAAAGTGTCAACATGGATTTCAATTAAAAATAAACTGGTCGAAATGCGAAATTAAAGCACACACGCCTCTCGGCCTTTGCACTCACTAATGCTAATATTCATGCCTACGGCCACGGACGTTGTTCAAACATTTCCAAACAATTAGAGAGCGTGCCACAGGGTTCAGGGTTAGAGAATAAGGAGCCGGGGTTCCCCGTCCCTCTTAATTGGATGTATGTTTGATGTTCCTGTAAAAAATAGAGTGACCAACCACCCCATCTAGTGGGGAGGGGGGCTTAACTAGAATCCAGTTTGTTCGAATTTTTGACCATTTCCTCCTCCTGCTGCGTTCAATAAATATATTTCCTGACATTTTGTGGCATTTTTGCATGTCAATAACATTTATTTATTATTACTATTTCAATGGTATAATACCATAGCAGCGGGGGCAGGTAGCCCGGAGAGGCCGTGTCAGAAGCATGATTCGTGCCACAGAGTATGCCACAAAACGGTGCAATAATTGGAGCTCGGGTTGTGGGAGGAGCAGCTGGAGCGCTGTAGCGGCGGCACGGCCGCACGAATCGGTTTGAAACTTGCGCCCGTAACGACCAATAATTGTTACAAATCGAAAAGCTCCCACTCCACGCGTTTTGGCCATTTTTCCTTTTTTATGCATTGTAATTTTTCACATTTTTGTTCATGCAAATCGATTGATGGCGTTTGGCACGCAGCGTCAGAGGCATTCAGAGCAAAGGAACAAATAAAAAAAATGAAAAGAAAATTGCTTCGATTGGGATTCCATGTAAATGTTTGATGGTGAGTTGGTCGCGGGGGTTTGCATGAAAATTGTGGAAAGCATTGTTGAAGTGTTGACCAAATATTTGACAACAATTTGTCGACGGGCGAATGTCAAACCTCGAGGAATTACAGAAGATTCCATATAAACACTCGTATGGCACTTTTGTATCGTACTTTTGTTTAAGCCTTACAGGATTTTCGCTCTCTGTTTCTGTTTCTGTTTCGGTTTCTCTTTGTTTTTGTTTTGTTATTTTGCATGCCATTTAATCTGGTTACTGGAAAGGAACCCCCACTGCGGTCGGTCGCTCGGTCGTTGGTCGGTTCTTTTATGTTATGCCACATCTTAAACTATATATACTCGTACTCGTATTTTTCAATATCGCAAAAAAGGAAGCAACAAAAAACTGCATTGCGCCTGGCATGAATATATTGTCTACATACTGGAGTGCTGGCCTGGCCTGGCCCCTGCTGCCCCGCCCCCTGCTACCCGCCAATATTTGCATGGCGCCATCCTTGCGACAAGCCGCACAAAAAATGCCTCTGGCTTTGCTCTGTCCTGCCACAGGCGTCGCTCTGCTCTGCTCTGCTCCGTTTGAAAGGCTGCACTCAGTTTTGGTGGTGCTGTGTCCCCCGCCTCTTTTCAGTGAGCCGCACAGCCAACGGGCAGCATGGGACACACAAAAGCGCGTAAGCGTATTATTAATGGCCTGCATAGAGGGCGGACGGGCGGACGGGATATGGGGTGCTGGATTGGGGCGTGCGGATGGTTCCAATTGTGTGCCACTATCCGTTTCCCCCACTACACTACACCGCACACACACGCACGCACGCACACAGACAGGCCAGTTCATATTTACTGCTTGTCCCGATTTTGGCCAGCATTATGGCCAGTTTTGGGAATGGCTTGGGATGGGATGGGATGGTTTGCGATGCTCTCGAGCCCAGTTCTGCATTCATCTATCAGTCTTTGCTGCCATGCCATGCCTTGGCTTGGTTTTTTGTAGTTTTTAATAAAATGGAAGGCAACAAACAAAAATGAAAGGAAAAACCATTGTTACCGCCGCTTGCCCAACAGCAACAACAGCACCAGCACCCTCTTACCACTTTGTGTGCTGTATACTTTCAGGCTGGAAAATGAAATTTTAGCCCTGTTCCAGAGTCCATTCGTCCATTCGTCCATTCGTCCAGTGTGCGGTGGTCCGCCTGCTCCGCCTTCTGCCCGGCGCTCGTTTTTCACTTTTGACTCGTTGCGAAATATTTTAAATTGTTTTCCCGAAAATGCAATAAAAATTAATATTGGCCAGAAGTTAGGGGGAACAGCCCCTGCAGCGCAGCAAACGGTACCCCACCGTATAGAGGAGGGTTTCTCTGGACAATCGCATAAATATAAAACTTTCGGTGAATCAGTTTTGATAAATAAATTTAGTACAGAGCACCTTGTACAATGGAAAGTGTGCCATTAATTAATTTTCGAAGCTACGTTACGCTGGCGTAAAATGAGATAATAAAACGAGAACATTTAACGAAAAAAATTACACACATCCTGGCATCCATAATTATGTCCCGTTGGGCCTGTTGGGCCTGTTGGGCCTGTCACCGTTATTCTTCATTAAGTGCCAATGACAGCAACAGAATCAACAGCAATAATTGTGCCAGTAAATGCTGAAAAATCATATATTTCAAATGATTTACATGTCCATCCATCCGATCGATGCTTCTATATACGAGCAGTAAATTCTCATTGCGAGCATTCAATGTTCGAGCAACGATTTTTAATTACTTGACGGAAGTGCATTTGCCAGAGCCAGAGTGTGTGGGGAAGCCATCAAAGGATCGTCCTCTGAAAGCGGACTCACATAATTAATTTATTATGCAGACCCGTTAATACGATGCGTATTAATATTAATAATATATTGTCTGTATACTCCTTCTGTCAACCGACGACATGTCGTGGCAACACAATTGACAATTATTAATTTATAGGCAAGGCATTCATTCACTCATTCATTCATCGAAATAAGTCCAACACAAATTCGAAACCAAATGATGGACAGCTTAATTGTTTTCGCCATCACTGGGGTGTTGTCAGCACTTTTCAGCAATGATCTCTGCCCGCCCGTCTGTCTGTGCACTATCATAGCTTTAATATTTATTAATTCCTACCCCTCTATTGCAAATATAAGTGAAAACTTTCTATTGCAGCCGCATAAACAGCGTATTTGCATTACCCACCTGCTTAGTCACCTTCGGGCACATTACACACATACCCTGCCTGCATGTCCAAACGAATAGCATTTTCTAATTTACCATTTCACATTTAGCCCCTGCAGCTGCTTTTCGTGCCTCTACTCCCCACACACACACACACACACACACACACACAAACCGCAAATAGCGAAAATATTTTTGTTTTTCCCTCAAACACACAGCTACAAGAAAAATGTTTGAAATTCCACGCAAAAGAATGCAATGGAAATTTGTGCACCCAGCAGTCGTCGCACAACACACAAAGGGGTATGTTGTATTCGTGGTAGTCCCTAGAATCAGTGGATCTCTCTGCTGGATAATTTCCTAGATATATTTCCCCGACTAGCGGGTATCCCCTAGTCGTAAACTCGTCGGGTATACGGGCAGTGTTCCTTCTTGTTTCGACTAGACATTTGCTTAGCCGTCTGGTGGGACGAGGGAAGTTCTAGGTTTGCCATACGGAAGTGGGCGAGCGGGCGAAGGCGACGTCAATGCGCGATGGGATGGCAGACGGAAGTTGTACGCAAAAGACAATGACTAAGCACACAAGAACGAGACAAACACACACACTTACTCGTGTGGCGTGCACATGTACAGGGCACATACGGGCGGAGTCCCAAATAGAGGGGGGTCGTAGCAGGGCGACAATGCCAACAATATGCATACAATGCAAGCCACAGATAAAGTTTCCCTACTAGTTTTTCTCGGACTTTGTTCTCTGCGAAGAGAAGTTCTAGCGAGACAAACCGTTAGGAAAATGCAACTGCACTTAAATATGCACATGTCGGTGGTGCATGCATCTGTGTCGCTGTCTGTATCTGTGTGTCTCTGTCTCTGTCTGTGGCTGTGCCTGTGTCTGTGGCTATGGCTATGGCTGTCAAGGAAAATAAAAACATTTCTTAAGGCTTTTTGATGAACATTTAAACGGCAATGGCCATCGTCGAACGAACATCCTCTGGGACTACGTATCCCTCACTGTCCTCTCTGTCCTCCAACTCACTCCCCCGAGGCGTGTTTTCTTTTATTCATGAGCCTGCTGCCCATTTCCCTTTCTCCCCTCTCTCCCACTCTTCATTTAAATGAATTTTCCTATCTTTCCGCCTTTTATTTTTCAAGTTTTCAGTTAGGCAGGAAGTAGAAGAGCCTTTTTTTTTTTGGTGCTGGGCGTGGCCAGTTTTGAGTGCGGTCTTGGCCTTCAACTCTTTCGGCCTTTGCTATTCTTTCACACTTGCAACTTCTGTGGCAGTTTTTGCTGTGGCTTTTCCTTGGATTATTTCATCTGGCTTTAACTGGGACACTTCTTGTGCTTAGATTCCATCGATTTTGGGGCTCTCAACATATTGAAATCCAATCTGGAGGCAGCTCCAAAACTGTCGTGGTCGCCAAATCCCCCTGCGAGCCATATAAATATCGTGGGCGTTTGCAGTTCAATTAACTTCTGGCCAAAAAGCCAGAAAACAAGAGCCACAAAAACAACAACATGCAACAACGAAACAAAACCCGGGCAAAAACTTGGTAAAAACAGTTTAAACTTTTTGGCAACTGCCAGCAGACAACCAAACGCTTTTGGTAAGTGGCAGGGGGGACCGGGAGTGGGAGCGGGAGCGTATTCCTCATTGACATGCGATGCGGGCCTGCCCGTCGGCCTCCCCTCCTACTGGCCCCATTCATGCACTGTAATTTGTGTG